TGTGTGTGTGTGTGTGTGTGTGTGTGTGTGTGTGTGTGTGTGTGTGTATGAACATGCAAAATAAATGCAAGGTAGTTGGGGGAGGGGAGACAAGAGCCCCCAGTAACAACTGCTCCTTACACGTGTAAGGGCTTTCTTATTCCATCCCAACAAAACCCCTTTGGGAATTTTTATGTTCTTAAGTCCTGTAGGCTTAATTATTCTGTTAGAACTTTGTCTTTGTAGGAGAGTTGAAACTCACACGAGAGAGATCGCAGGATTTCCTCAGTATTTTCCAGGATCCCTGCTCCATCATACGTTGACCCATGTTCAAGCTTAGTATTCTCCTTTTCCTGATGCTTGAGTTTTTCTTATCTACTTATTGAATTGAAAAGTCAAACTTCTCTTTGGAAAATTAGATTTTAAGTGTATGTTCTTCATCCAGACGGAGACTCTTGAGCCTTCAGCCTCCATGTTTTATGGAGGATGTGCTTGGCAAAGTTCACTGACACGTTGGCTTTATGAGCGCATACATCTTTCATTGTCCTCATGTGTCTCCTCCTTTGGGGCCAGGTACTGTCTCATGAGCGTCCGGGGCTGCTACACAGACTTTCACGTGGATTTCGGCGGCACCTCTGTGTGGTACCACATACACCAGGGGGGAAAGGTATGGTGCCATTATAGAGAGATCTTTGTGGTGGGATTGAAGGTGAAGGATTATGTCGTTCAGTCTGGATGGTGGCACATTTGAGCCGTTCTAGAAGATAAATGCCCAGCATAACTGTTTTGGTAGAGAGAGTACTAGAGTTTGGTGAGGAGTGGAATTCCCCTAGGCAGCTACCCACACAGGGCCACCCATGTTGGTAGGGTTCTTGAGCCCCAGCTTTTCTGGGGTGTTCTCTGCCCCAGCCCAGGAAATCAGAAGGCCAAAGACTGCGAATGGGAGAAGAAGTTTTTCTTGTACAGTGAGCTTCCTCAGTAACATCTGTGAAGGAGTTTCCAAACCATTCTGGGTAGAGACATGCTGAGCAATTGTGTCTGTTGCCGTAATTCAGCAAATGTTGAACGCTCCTTTTGTGCAAGGTGAATGTCCAGGTTGCAGAGTGGGTAAGGGACCAGAGTCATATCAAGAAGGCCTCAATTCATGTCCTGCCTCTGTACGTCCTGAACAAGTAACTGCCCCAGCCTGCGCTCGCTCACTTTCTCTCTTGTGCGCGTGCACTCTTTGAGGCAGTAAGGATTAAGTGACTTGCCCAAGGTCACACAGCTAGTAAGTGTCTAAGGCTGGATTTGAACTCAGGTCTTCCTGATTCTAGGACCAGTGCTCTATTCACTACACCATCTAGCTACCCCATGCTTCAGCTCTCTTAAGACTGGAAGTTATTGAAAAAAAAGTGTAGTAAGCACCAGGGGCAGAGACATAAACGAAGTCCCTGCTCTCAAGGAACTTCTATTGCACCGTAAGCTAAAAGCAGTTGATAAATGCAGTAAACTCAGACTCAGATGCACCTCTGGACAGTAGAAGCATCCATCTGAAACTTGGCCCAATCTGCTGCTCTTTTGTCCATTTTTCAAAGATTGGCAATCCCCCACGGTGATCCCAGGGCCTGCCTTCTTCCTGTGGCACAGCATGCTGATGTGAAGTGAAGACAAGCGATGGAGAGAGTCAGGGGACCGGAGTCCAGATCCTTCTGGTGCCCCTTTCCGAGGGAGCAATGGCCAAGTCACTTCACCGCCTGGGCCTCAGTTTGACTAAATAGCTTTGGAGGCCCCTTCAGATCCTAGGTCTCAGATGCAGTCGTGCTAGTGAGGCTTATGGCCTCACTCTGTCCTGTGCTCGAAGTGAACTAGAGGGTGCCATGTGTGGGTCTGGCAGAGAAGAGTAGTGTTGGGTTGAGAAGCCGCACCTTTTAAAAGTGAGAGTCTTGAACCCAAGCAACCATCACCTCATCTAGGGAGTTCGTATCGAGGGTCCTATCAATGCCTATTTACGGACTGAAGTTTCCCTCTCCCAGGTCTTCTGGCTCATACCGCCTACGGCCCAAAACTTGGAACTGTACGAGAATTGGCTGCTGTCGGGAAAGCAGGGCGACATCTTCCTGGGTGACCGCGTGTCAGAGTGCCAGCGCATCGAGCTCAAGCAGGGATACACCTTTGTTATTCCCTCAGGTAAGCAAAGTGGGCAGAGCCGCCACCACCTTCCCTTGAGCCCAGAGCTATGGAGTGCATGCAGCGAGAGATGACTGAGGAGGCAGCACTGACTGATAGGTCCTGAGGCCCGTGGAAATGGATGGCCTGTCGTTGACCCACACGTTCCCATCGCCTTCGTTATTTAGCATTTGTTAACCCCATCTCCATCAACGTGCTAACTGCATCATCCCTGTTCTCCTGAGCCTCCTGGGCCTTGTTGAGGATGTGTACCCAGTGAATTCTTTGTGCCGTTCTCTTAACTGCACACGGCAGTAGTCAGTGTATCTGATGTTCATTTGGTTCTGCCTTCTTTTAACTCTTCAGATTCATTGTTTCCCGTGGGGCAGTAATTACATTTCATTAGTATGTCATAGTTCATTTTTAAGTGGTTCTCATTTTATTTTTTTAATCTTAAAAACCCCACCTTCTCTCCCTCTATCCCTCTTTCAATTGAAAAAGAAAGGAAAAGCAAAAAACACTCAATAAATGTACATTGTCGAGCAAAACCAGTTCCCCCCGTCCTTAGCCGTGTCCCCAAGATAGGAGTCTCAGTCTGCCCCTGTGTGTCAGGAGGTGGGCCCGTGTCTTGTCATGAATCTCCTGCAGTTGTGGGTGGCCGTGGTTCTGAAGCCTTCCAGAGCTGCTGGTCTTTGTGATGTTGTTACGGTGTAGATTGTTCTCCCGCTTGTACCGTTTTACTCTCTCAGTTCCTCTGAGTCTTCCTAGGTTTCTGTGAAACCACGTCCATCACCACTTCTTAGAGCACAGTTATATTCCATTAGATACATTTACCATTCCCCATTCTATGAACATCCAATTGGCTTCCCGTCTTTTTGCTGTTAGGAATATTTTTGCACAGCTGTGTATGTCTTTCCTGCCAGTAATATCCTTAGGGCAGAGTGCCAGTAATGAGCCCACTGGGCCAAGGGGTGTGGAAATGCTCATCATTTTTACTCTAGAATTCTAGAGAGCCAGGGTTTAAGGCCTTGGAGGATAAACCATGTAATAAAGCACATAGTAAGCACTTAATAAATATTTTTCCATTCATTCACTCCCATTATGACTTGATAAGGGCATTAGAGATTTACAAAACAATCGCTACTTGAGGTTTGAAGCAGGAACTTACTACAAACCAGGGGAAGAAGATGACAAAGAAGACTTTCTAGAGGAGGCAGTCCTGTAGTTGGGCTTTAAAGGATGGGCAGAGGCAGTTCAGGGGAAGATGGGCTGGGGAAGGGCCTTCTAGTTGGCAGAAACTACCTCACAAGTGCATGGAGGTGGATGTGTGTAGGAGGCTAAGCTTTCCCGTCTGGCTAGTTTGTGGATTGTACGAGGAGAGAAGATGGGGCTCAGATGCCAGGCACAGGAGTCTGAACTGGACTCGGGACCCTGTGAAGCCTGTTGGGCAGGGAGTGCCTTGGCCGGGTCTTTTTGGACAGAAAGATTCTTCAGGAAGCATGTGACAGGCATTTTGGAGGGAGAAAAAGCCTGGGGCAAACCTTGAAGGGAGCTGTTGAAGGTTTCCAGGCTCGTGGTAGTGAGTCCTAAACTTGGGTATTGGCATTGGGCCGGGTGTTCAAGACGTCATGGCACTGGCCCTGCCGAGCATGGCGAGTGGTGGGTGGGGGGTGGTGCAACCCCTCCTAAGAACTGGTGAGGATGGAGTAGGGCTCACCCAGGAGGAAGGACGGAGGATCGCGGTGAAGAGGAGCAGGCTAGGATGGGGAGGGGAGCTTGTCACTTCTTCTCCAAGAGAATCCTTCTCTAACTTGAGGCCTTGTTGGTTCTCCTACCTCTTTAGGCTGGATTCATGCAGTGTACACCCCCACAGACACATTAGTGTTCGGGGGCAACTTTTTGCACAGTTTTAACATCCCCATGCAGCTCAAAATCTACAACATTGAAGATCGGACACGGGTAAGTAGCAGTGACTAAAGATTTGTGAACCTTTTACCCTCAGGTCTTTAGTTTATTTTGAGACAAAACGTGGATGTCAGTTTTCATCTTAGCACCCGGGAGAAGCAAAGAAAGTTAAGCATTTTAGCCAGACCCATGTGTCCTTGCTTTGTTCTCAGGTCCCTCCTAGCAGTGAACAGCGAGCAATCTTTTGGGTCACTTTTAGGCCGTTTTCTTTTCCCATGTCATCTTTATCCTCTGAATCTTTCGTTTTTATGTAAATTGCTAGTAAACCGTATTTCAATTTTTTAAAAGTTATCTTCGTTGTTCCGGTAGTTTGACAACTTGAGTTTTACATCCTTGAACTTGTGTGCCTATTACCTTCCATAACCACTTTCCTGGTTCTGTGCCTCTTAATCCAGAATCTCACTTTGTATCATATTCACTGACAAATTTATGCTGACAGTAAGACAGAATCCTAAATAAACAGACTACGAAAACCGAATAGGCAGACCTAGAGTTAGTTCACCCTGAATACGGAAACTAAATCATTGCGTTGTTGCAGCACTGATGCTGTTGAGGAACATCCTGTTCCTCGTAGGATTCAGACATGATAGGAAGTGCTTTATTCGCAGAATTAAAGTCGCAAATGTTCTTGAAGTTAAGTAGTAGTAATCCAGTTAAGTCATGATGAAAGAAATCACAAAAAATACAAATAATATGGCAGTGAAGCTGTGGAAGCCAGTGATTTGCAATAGAAAATATGTAGTTTACTTCATAGTAAAAACGAAGTTAAATCATAATTCCCTTTCATTTTCCAGGCCTCAGTTTCCCCCTCTTTAAAATGAGGGATTGGACGAAATGGCCTAAGGTCCTTTCTAGCTCTGATTTGGACATTGTGATCCTATAACCAAAGGCCCAAACTGTGGTAGGGTTCTTTTCTGTCGAGGCTCTGCTAATTTGTAGCTTCTTGGATTGTTAATTGGCCAACCTCAGAGGGGAGTCACTTCTCCATCTTTCTGTGGCATTGCAGTTGAGAGGAAAGGTGATTTTTTTTCTATACCGTTCCTAAATCCAGGATCCTCCTTTGCATCTGGAAAGTTTTCAAGTATACTTTCTAATTGCCTAGACAGATTCATGAGCATTGGTCCATTCTTAGAATCTGTAAATAAAAATCTCTGTCCACCACCCTTCCAGTGCTGACTGCCACATTGGACCGTCTCTGCATAGCCAGTCCACTGCTCCCAGCAGCGATGTGCAGAGGTGGTGCAAAAAGCCTCAGTGGACAGTAGCCCCAGCAGATAGTGCTGTTTTCCACATCATTCTCTGTGGACCAGGAGGGAGCACAATGTGCTCATCTGTTCCTTCCGTGTCTGCCCAGTAATTGTCAGCTGTTTGAGGACTGTCCCCATCTTGGTTTTTGTCTTTCAGTCCCCTGTGCTGAGCATTGTGCCTTGTCCTTAGTAGGCACTTAATAATGGCTCAAATGGACTTAAATCTGCTTTGTGAAGCTTATGAGAAAGCAGCTCGCTCTGCATAAAAGTTCTTTGCAAAGAACGGAGTACCATCGAAATGCAGTCTGTTCTTGCCTAGACTGTGTCCAGAAGCAGCTCCACCATTAGGGCTCTCCTGGGCATGACTTTTCTTCTCCCTCCACTGAAATGGAGGCTGTGGTCCTTGGAAGTCCCTAATGGAGAACAGAAGCTACAGAGATTCTTGATTAATAGGTCACCAATTTCCATAGAACTTTGTCATTGCTCCTCTGTCTGTCATTGACAATGTTAGTGAAACAGCGTGACAGGGCAATTTGATCACCAGTCATTCTCTTGAGCACCAGGTTAAACACTTGAATGTTGAATGCCCATATCCTCTCGGACCCCTCAAACAGAGTCCAAGAATTGATGGATTTTGGAAACTGTCGCTTTAACCAGAAGAGAGAGACAAACCTCCCTTCCTGATTCCTGGTCATTACTGTGCTTTTTACCAGAGCTAAAGACATGTGATCTAAAAGTGAAGGGGTGGGATCTGGGAAGGCTCTTCTGGGTTTTCTTAGCCTCAGAGCAGTAAAGCAAACAGCGCTTTGTAGCAGGACCTTCCTCTGAGGGCTCCACGGTCCTGGCTCAATCCCCTTTTTGTCTAGGGATCACCTCGACTGCCTGGAAAGGGCCACCTGTCTCCTTGCTCTTACCTGTGCTTACAGAGTTCTCCATTCAACCCAGAAGGAGGTTTGGACATTCTTAGGGAGTCTAGATTCACAACAGCTTTTCAAGTATGTAGTTGAATTCTGAGTTGCACAGGACAGCAGGAAGCAGACTCAGTGAGGTACAGGTCCTGTTGCTGGACCCCATCAGCTGCCTAACACAGCCCGTGGCTTCCCTTCACAGCATGACATGCACTGCTCCTCATTCTGGGAACTGGTTGGGTTGTTTAGTTAGAGCAGGACAGTCTTCTTGGGGGGTCAGGGAGAAAGTCATGTATTATTAGAGCCAGAGATTTCTGGTGTTTGTGCACATACAGGTAGCTTGTTACAGGCAGAGATCCACATCTGACATGACAAGTTGACCCTGCCTTATCACCCCTTTGTGGGTCAGGGTTCAGTGCCATTCAGCAACCATTTATTAAGGCGCCTACTGTGTGCAGGTTACCATGGGCTAGGCTCTGGACTTTCATGTCATCCAAACAAATCCCTGGCCCTTAGGAAGCTTACCTGCTGCTTCTCCAGGAACAGATCTGATCCTGGGGATTCTCTTCTGTTAAGAGAATGGGTCCCAGAACAGTTTTCTGAATTGAACATCATATCTGTCTTTGTCAAATAGATTTACCCCAAAAACTCAAATCCAGAAAATTTTTCATGTGCACAGATTTCTTTTTTTAATTCTTCATTTGACTAAGTCAGGAATTAACAGCCCGTTTCCTGTACTAGTTCTAAGTTGCCTTTCAGAGCACTAGGCTTCTGTGGTGATTGTTTTCTCCATAAAGCTGGCTTCTTAGGATGACCAAGCCACCTAATTCAGTGTCTAGGCATTCCACCCTAGAAAAGTCTCCCGTGGGATCGGAGAATTTAGCTGGAAGGTGGCTAGGCCACCTAGCCCAAACCTCTCATTTTTTTCAGGGGAGAAAAGTGATGGAACCATGGCTAATTATATTACTCAGAATGATTGGTTTCCTTGGAATTGAAGCGTCAGTTTATTCTGCTTGTCCCCATGTAGGTCCCAAATAAGTTCCGTTATCCATTCTACTATGAGATGTGTTGGTACGTGTTAGAACGCTATGTCTACTGCATCACCCACCGCTCCCACCTGACCAAGGATTTCCAGAAAGAATCCCTCAGCATGGGTGAGTACTTGACCTGACTCTGTCTTCTCCAGTCTGAAACAGAGTCCTTCCCTCCCCTTGTCAGAGTCTTTAGGGAGTGGGGGCATTCAGAAGACTCTGCTTCCTGTGAGCGTCAGGAGGACGCCGCCGGCCCGTCTGCCCTTCCCCACCGTGGGCTCTGTGGAGCACTTCCGGGCTGCCCGGAACAGTGGGGCACGCTGTCCTGGAGGCTTACTGGAAAGGTGGGGGGTGGGGCCCCGTCTTGGTCTCTGGATGTTGAGTCTGGTCTGTGTCATTGCCTAAAGAATGCGTTCGCTAGGCTATTCAGTGTCTCAGAAGAAAGAGAAGCCAACACTACAGTATCGGAAGGACATATTTTTTCCCTGTGGAATTTCCACCTTACAGGCACGATGTCTCAGCGTTTTCCTACGTTTTGGGGGAACAGACCTGTGCTTTCACTCCCTGTGCACACGGGTGGTCAGCCACTGTTCCTCAGGGCGCTGAGAACTTGCGAGGCTTGTCCGTGCCAGGGGAACCTCATCTCTGCCACGCTATCTCTTGTGGCGTCTACATGACCCATTACAAAGCATCCGTCCTTCATCAAAATGCTTCACTTCCTTCTGACTCCCAAGAGCTTCCTTGTCTTGTCACAGAATTCACATACCAAGTCTGTGTTCTTTCTTGAAGTCTTTGGCTCATCCTTTTTTCTCAGATTTTACAACTATGGATCAGGTATTTATTACCCAAAGAGTTAACTCTCCTCAGATTTTCCTGCCTCACACTTAGGGGCAAGGACTATCCCATTCATCATATTTGCATCCCCACGATCGGGCATACTTCCTGGTACAAGGTAGGTGCTTAATAAATGCTTCTAGGCCACTAGCAAGGCTCAGCGGTGGTCATGGGTGGTCCTAGCATCCCTGAGTGGAAAGAGGAAAGCAGATCCAGGAGCGTGAGGGGGGCAGGAGAGAAGCCAACAAAGTTCTGTGCAGTGGGGTGTGCTAGAATGTTGCCAGAAATCAGCTTCATTTCCTTGGGAACTTTTATTGGCTCTAGAGAAACATTTCCTCAGTGTCGTAACGAGAAAGCCAGTTTTCAGTTTTCAGAATGGGAAAGGTAGCTCAGAAATGACTGACAGAGGCTAGGACAAGAGAAGAAACCTCCAGCACTTTCCAGGAGTTGTTTACTGGTGCTGGACAAAACGCTTCCCACAAACTGCTGACCGATAGCCTTAAAAAATGGGAAAAGTACCACAGGCCTGCTGGTCTACTAAGAATTCCAGCGTTTCAAATTGAAGATGGTAGGGGCAGCTAGGTGGCGCAGTGGATAGAGCACTGACCCTGGATTCAGGGAGACCTGAGTTCAAATGTGGCCTCAGACACATAACACTTACTAGCTGTGTGACCCTGGGCAAGTCACTTAACCCTGATTGCCTAACCAAAAAAAATCAAATTGAAGAAGGTAAATTCTTCAAATTGTGGGCCAGTGAGCTTTACTTTATGACAGAATTCTTGGATGTAAAAGGACGGAGACTATGAGCATTTCAAAAGAGGACTGGTGATCATCAAGAGCCAGTATATGTTGATCAAGAAAAAGATTATTCCAGATAATCTTTTCCATTTTTGATCAGGGTTATAAAACCAGGAGATCCCAGCAATGGAATATACATGGAAAACACAGTGTTCCTGGGTTGTGGTTGTTGTTGTGTTGTTGTTTTTTGTTTTTTGTTTTTGTTAGGCAATGGGGTTCAGTGACTTTCTCAGGGTCGCACAGCTAGTATGTGTCAAGTGTCTGGTCTGAGGCTGGATTTGAACTCAGGTCCTCCTGACTCCAGGGCTGGTGCTCTATCCACTGTGCCACCTAGCTGCCCCCATTCCTGAGTTTTTAACAAGACATTTGCCGAAGTTTTTTCATTGTAGTCCCTGGACAACGTAGAGAGATGAAGGCTACCTGACTATGGTATGGGAATCCCAAAGGGTTGTGGCTAATGGACCTCCAGGCCTGGAAGGTTCTCTCTTGTCTTGGAAGGGTCCAAGATGAAATTTAATGGGGGTAAATGTAAAAGCTTAATGTTGTGACATTGATTTCAAACTCAGGTGAAAGCTGGCAAACAGTAATAATAATAAAAACCTATTACTAGCTCACATTTCTAGGGCACTCTATGCCAGCTGTTGTGCTAAGCTCTTTACAATTATGTCATTTGATCCTCACAACAAAACTGGGAGGTGGGTCCTCTTATTATCCCCATTTTACAGTTGAGGCAACTGAGGCAAACAGAGAATAAATGACTTGCCTAGGGTCACTCAGGTAATAAGTATCCGAGATTGGATTTGCACTCAGGTCTTTCTGGCTCCATGCCCAGTGCTCTACCCACTGCATCACCAGCTGCCTCTAGGCATCTAGCCCCACTTCCAGCAGGTTGTGTGAAAAAGATCTGGTGAACTTGAGCAAAGTACAGTTCAGTGCAAGTCAACGCAGCCACCTGAATGCTCCTGCCTGGTGGGAGGCTTGGAGTCCATGGCATTGGGTTCTGACTCGGCCGGGCTGAAGGCCAGCTGTGGTGAGCAAAGGCCTGAAAGCTGCACCTCGCAAGCATTGGTTGATGGACGTAGCAACATCTAGCCCGGAGAAGAGCTTGTAGGAAGAGCGTGGTAGCTCTCTGCAGGCCCATCCTGGGGTGGCGGGGGGGGGGGGGGGGGGGGGGGGGGGTGAGAATTGGTTTGTTTGGCCCCAGAGGCAGAACTCGGAGCCCACGGTGGAAGTTAGAAGCATTTCCTGTGGAAGACTAAAAACACCTGGACTGCTACAGAGACGCTTAGGGCTTGCTTTTCCTGTTAGTGGAAGTCAGTCAGTCAGCAGGTATTTATTAAGCACCTGCTGTGTGCAAGGCGCTGGGGATCCAAGTACAAAGAATGAAATGATCCCTGCTCCCAACAAACTTCGACCCTAATACATGTAAAAAATATCTACAGTATAAAGTGAGTAAATATGTCATGTCTTGTATAATGTTAGATTACTTACCCTTGGGGGAAAGGGGGAGAGAATTTGGAACTCAAAATTTAAAAAAAAAAAAAATTTTTTTATTGTTTTTACATGTAATTGGGAAAAATAAAAAATTATTCGGAAAAATAATGTGCACGTGTATATATAGTAAAGACATGTATACATATCACAGTGCTGTATTATACACACGTTTTATTATATATATGTACACATACACATTAACTTTCTAAGTTGATAAATATTACTCCCAAACTATCTTGTATTTTAATATTTCCTGCCCATAATATATGTACATTATGCATATTGTATGCATATATTTATGCCTGTAAACTCTCTGTGTGTGTATGTGTGTGTGTAGTGTCATGTCCCAAAAGTCTTAGTGTGGTTTTTTAGCTTTGAAAGCTTTTTAGTTTGGAGTAACGTTTGGCCGGCACAGCCAGCCCACAGCTTTCTTCTTCCTAAGCCAAGCCACTTAGCAGCACATCCCTGCTCGGGTACAGGGGCAGTAGCTGACCTTGACGGTACCTTCCAACTCACATGCTGTGGAATCCTGAAAAGAGAGATTCAATTTTAACATAGACTGACCTACCAAACTCATCTTGTCCCCAAATGTGAACTTCCCAGGTCAGCTTTTACGTGAGATCCCCCCCGGGCGCTATCTTGTCTTCTCACTCTGCTTTCTTCTCTGCCTCTGCAGATTTGGAGTTGAATGGCTTGGAGTCTGGAAGCGCAGACGAGGAGGCTTCAGAGAGGGAGCCAAGGCGCCTGAGCAGCCGGCGTTCCGTCCTCACCAGCCCCATGGCCAACGGAGTCAACGTGGATTATGACGGGCTGGGCAAAACCTGCAGGGGCCTGCCGGGGCTGAAGAGAACCTTGTCGGTGGACTCGTCCGCTGAGTCTGGCCGGAGCTCCCACAACGGTCAAGTGTGGGATCCCCAGGGTAGCCCCCGGAAGGACAGGCAGATTCACCTAACTCATTTTGAGCTGGAAGGTCTCCGGTGCCTTGTGGATAAGCTGGAGTCACTGCCATTACACAAGAAATGTGTCCCGACGGGGATTGAAGATGAAGATGCTCTCATTGCTGATGTCAAGGTGAGGCCCCTCATCTGCCCAGCACGGCAGGCGGAGGGCCGGGGCGGGGGGGGGAGGAGAGTGGGGGAGGCGTGGGGTTTGAGCACCAAGGGCTTGCGGGATTTTGAGAGTTTCCGGTTTTCTCTGATATCGTTCTCCTCATAGCCTCTTTCTATGTATTCCTGACTCTGCCAACTCACGCAAGTGCTTTTAGGCCTTGTTGATGTGGTATAAATGTCTGGTGAGCGGCTTTTGGGTGCGACTGAGGGAAGGCTTAGTCTGTCTATCCCTGCCTTGTCTCCCTTGGTCGCCAAAAAGATTGCGTGCTTGGTGAGGGAAGTTTTTATTTGAAATCTATTAGGTAAGATTTCATTTCAAAGAATCTATTTGAAAAACAGTAGCCCTTAAGAGATAGAGATTGGATTTCAGGTTAAAGTTAAAAAGTTACTCCTTTTCCTAGAAACTGTGACAGGTTTATCTGCTGATACAATTTAGCTGTTGAGAATTTTATCAGGAAATGAAGGGTTGTATGAGACCTGAGCCACATGTGTGACTCCAGTCACATTCTGTGTGTGCTTCTAGCAAATGGGGAGAAGTAATGGAAGTGTCAGAATTGTCACTTTGACCTTTGAACAAACCTAGCCCTAGGTGTGATATTGCGGGCCAGGGCAGTGTCTGTCTTGGGATCAGTCAGTGCTCATGTTGTGCTTGAAGACCAGAAAGGGATAACTTTCTCTCCTCTTCATTACCCCTGGCAAAAGGACCTCAGGCACTTTCTGAAAACCAGAATTCTGAAGACTCAGATTTAAGCTGGTATTTCAAACCACCCTAATAAAACAGGTCCTCATTCATCCAGAGAAACATTTCTGGGAACCTCCCCGCAATCTTAGGAAGAGATTCCCCTTGACTTCAAGAAGAAAGGGGTTTATTTCATTCCTCTATAGTGTCCACTCACCTCCCTACCTCCTATGAGTCCTATGGATTCTCTGGAGCACTCTTGACTTCTTCTCCCGGCCTATTGAAAGGGATTGTTTTATATTTTCTTGGGTTACCCTCAAGAATAAATCTCGATTGATTACTTCTAAGCTTACCTACTCATAAAACTTGAGTATTTGTTGATATTTTCAAGTGGGCAAGGTTATGGTAAATTATAACCCATCTTAACACAGTGTCAAGGTTCCTTACATGGTATATTTGGTACACTCGTCTGTATTTGGAATCATTTGGCCTATCTCACATGTCCTCATATACATCCATCTCCCAAAAAAAGGAAATTTTCTTAGGAATATCTGAGTAATCTGAAAGTCAGTCTCCCTTTATTTTTATTTTTATTTTTTTTAGTAAATACTTTCATTATGTGAACACCAAAGCCTCAAGAAATCTTTAAAATTTATCCCAGAAAAAAATATGAAGATATGAATAACTATGCAAAGGAAAAGAAATCTTTAGGAATTCCTTTCCAGTTTCTAATAAGTGTGGTAAATCTCTGTCCTGTAGATCTTTTCAACTGTGTAAGAACTTATTATAAGAAATAGTTTTACACTGGACTAAAGCGAGGTGGACTAAATTTTCCTAATTAGTACTTTTCCATCTCCGGTTTCAGATTCAATTTTCTTTTGGCCATCTACACTAGGAGGCTTCCTATTTTCTGCATTCTCAGGGAAGATACTTCCCAGCTTAGGGATGGCATGTGTGTCTCCCTCCACTGAGGAGTAGAATGTAATTTCATTTCATAACCTGTGGGTGAAGTTGAGAAGGTAGAGACAGGCCAAGTGGCCAGAGAATGAGACGTGTGGGAGAGGTTCAAGTCAGAAGGGCCTGGTCCTCATTTCAGGAGGGGAAGCATCTGGACACGTAGAAGGGCTTGGGGATCAGAAAGGACCCAAATGTCCTGGTGCCGAGAGCACCTTTCTCGTGTCATCTGCATAAGCTAGGTCATCTTGGCTTCAGGGGTTGGTAGAAAAACAAAATCTCACAGAGGTGAATTTTGGTGTTTAGGAGTGCAGAATGTCATCCTGACATTGGGAAAAGAGCCTACAAAATTCTACACAGCTTGAGTTATGGATAAAAACGAATTGAGAGGATTCATTTGAGGTCGATTCCTGGTTTTGTTATTATAACCAACTTAACCATATTTTACCAAGCTAATAAGATTCTAAACCCTGCTTACTGTCCTTGGGGCAGCCAGCACTTACTAAATACTTACTGTGGGCCAGGCACCATGCTAAGTACTGGGCGTCCAAAGAAAGCCTCCTGGGCCCTCACTCCCATCCTAGTGAGAGGACACAGCACGCAAACACCACACGGGAGATCTGTGCAAGGCCATTGGAGGCGGCCTTAGAGGGAAGGCCTTGGCATTGAGGAGGCCAGGAAAGGCTTTTTTGCAGAAGGAAGAATTTGAACTGAGGCTGGCAGGAATCCAGGAGGTGGAGATGAGAAAGAAGAACATTCCAGGCCAGAAGATGGAGGGTCTTGTTTGAGGCCCAGCAGGGAGGCCAGAGTCACTGGGGAGTAAGAAGGAAGAAGTCTGGCAGGGTAGGGGCAGCTCAGGTGGTGAAGAGCTTTCAGAGCCAAACAGAGGATTTTCTGTTTGATCCTGACCTTCATAGGGAGCCACTGGAATTGATTGAGTAGGGGAGTCACATGGTCAGACCTGAACTTTGGAAAGTCAGTACATTCTCATGATGGGTCATCTGTATAACCTGCAGGTGTTAGGGCTGTGCAGTAATTTTATCAGGGAATTGGGAGAGAGGAGGGTGCCTGAGGCTTTCTGATTCGCCCACTTTGTTTTGTTAGGCCCAGAGAGGAGCATTAACTTGCCCTAGGTCCCACAGCTAGCCAGCCCCTCGCAGGTGGTCTTTTGCCCAGTGTTCTCAGCTTAGCTGCAAAGCCGTCATTCTGCTCCGAAGGTGGATTTCCCACTGTGCTCTCTAGGACATGACCACATTGGCTTCTGCTGGCCATGTGGACATTGCGTGTGCCCAGGTAACCTTCAGAGATTGTTCTTCCAGCTTCTGGGTAAAATTTCTCAATTCCTGTCTCACAAGCCCTTTGGGCCTGGCTGCCATTAGTTTTTTTAACTCTTGGATTCTGTGGATTCAAATAAACTTTTCTTGCACAGTCACTGCTCTCCCTTAGAATGTTAAAGGGACCTATTGAAATAAATTAGGAGGAAAGGAAAACCAGTTTTATAATTTCCCGTAAGAAGAGAATGGTTCGTGACATCTTTTATTGGGTTTTGTTTTTTTTTTTTAGAGTTAGTGAACTCCCTTAAGTGGGTCATCAACGTAGTCATGAGTCATCATTGCTAGTCCCTGAAAAGCTGGTGTTGAGGCCTATCAGAAGACTCTCTCTGGGCCTCAGTTTCCTCATGTGTAAAATAAGGGAGTGGGACCACTTGATCTCAAAGCTCCCTTCCAGCTCTCAATCATAACTACATGTTCCTGTACTTAATGTGCCCAAAGGGGTTAAGAGTCATAGAAACAAGACAAGTTTATGTTGAGATCGAAGGAAGGCCACGCAGAGATGTGTGACCATGGTTCACAAAGAGCCAGGAAAGGGCATTCCCGGAAATTGGCAGGGGCCTTGCTAGCTCTCGGTGGAGGAAGGTTGAAAGACTGGGTGAAGAATTCCCAGGTGCTGGTGTCTGTCATGTAGAAAGCACAGGTGTCAGAAGATCAGGGCCAGAAATGGTGTGGCGTAAAATGGCAGGAAGTGGGCAAGCCCGAGGCAGGAAGAGCAGTGTGAAGGTCATGGGCAGGGGGAGGCTTCCGAGGGCCCCTTGGTGTACTCTCTGGGGACAGTCTCATTGTGCTCCAGCCTCCAGATTTGGCTCTTACTGGGTGTCAAGTTGCCACTAGCATTTAAATCTAACACAGGTATGAAAATATTAGTCATATCCGATGAACGGAAGGCTGTAGAAGAAGGGTGTTGGATCCTGCTGGAGTAGTCTTAGTGCCCAGTTAGGGGTTCTGCACTGCCCCCCGTCTGGCATTGGGGGCTTCGCTGCCACCCAAGAAAGGTCACACGTGGGCATACTGTGGGGCTGGCCTTGGAGTCGGGGGCCAAGGTTTGTGTTCTGACCAAATGAGACATGGCCTAGTACACAGTAGGTGCTTAATAAATGCTTGTTTCTTTCCTCCTGGTTCTGGGACCTGCCACCTACCTGGCTTGCCTTCTCTAGACCTTGTTTCCTCATCTGTAAGTGGGAGCTGAAACGAGATTGTCTCTAAGGCCTTCCAGCTTTAAATCTATGTTCTGGTGAAACCAAGGGCAAACATATAAGACCAGTTCAACCATTCGTACAAAGCAGAACTGATACAAATTACAGTGTGTCCCTTTTATCAGTAATTCCTTCCCCATGGGCCAGCCTGTCTAGTCAGACTTCATTCATTCATAGGCAATAACTTGAGGTGGTGCTCACCCACAGTGGACCCCATTCCTCCTCGGTTGCACATGTGTGCAGTTTCGTGATCCTGCAGCTGCCATCTTGGGGGTGTGAGAGAATGCTCCCCCTATGCTTGGTCTTTTGGGAAACTGGATGTTGTGCACTTCATTGTGCTGACTGCCCGTTGACATAGGCCTTTGCTTTCATGGAGGGATGGTCAGAATCAGTGGATTTTAAGTTGGAAGACACCTCGGGTATCTGCTTCTCTGAGCCTCTCCATTGATAGGCGGGGAGAGAGGAGTTGAGATGCGCCTGAACCTTGCCAGGCAGGACTGGACTGGAACCCGGGTCCTTCTAACCCACTCTTTTCACTGTGTCTGTTCTAACTAATTTGCACGAGTATTTTGTCATCCGTCTTGTATTTGAGGTTAGTGAGAAGACAACACTCGACATACCCTTGAGCAGTGCACACAAAGCAGTGACTCCTGTGGAGGAGGTTCCGTCTCCCTGTGCCCACTGGGCTCTTTCCTCTCCTCGTGGTAGCCTCCAAGAGTGCTCGTGCTTGCTTAGACTTGTAGCCGATGCTCAGAATACATTTCTGAAGTTGTGCTTTCGTGGGCCCTCACGAAAGGCCCCCGACTGACTCAGATGTCTGAAAGTATGAACTGAAGCATTTGGACTAGATGACCTTCGTGGTGTCTATCGTCCTGGGGTCCTGTAAAAATATTTTAAGTACAAACTGAGAACTCTTGAAATCTTGGGGTCTTAAGATATGTACACCAGAGAGGCTCAGGACAATAACAGGAATGATAATAGGAGGAAGGCCCAAGCGTTCTACCTTAGTAAACAGCTTGGGAAATGAGTATCTGCAGGACCTACCCCGATCCCAGATAGCTTAGGGGCCGGCAAGGACACTGTCCTCCCCTCTGCACATACATAATGCACACGCCATGAAATTGCAGTCCTTTAAACAGTTCTTTGGAGAGAACCAGATCTCTTTTGTAGGCAGCTTTAAAAGTACGGCCAGTACTTTTTGAAGCAAACATTTAATTATTCAAGAATCTATTGGCTTAGGATGATGTGTGGCACATAGTGGGTCCTTAATAAAGCTCTTCATATGAGAGCACCAGTCCACTGCGAATCCCAGAGAAGCAGATTGGCATTTCAGTCTCTGCCTCTCAGGAGTAACAAAATAAACAACGGTAGAGTTTTGACTTGGGCCTTGGCAGCAGTGGTGGTGGGATGTCTCCTGGCATCCACATAGCTGACGGCTGCAGGGTGAGTTCCCCCAAGGAACTGTGGGAACAGAGAGACTGTCAGCTTCGGGGCAGAATGGGAAACGTGTCATATGGGGATGGGAAAGGGTAAAGTCGAAGACCTGAGATTGGATCAGGGAGGAAAGACGCCCAGAGGCAGGTGGAGACAGCTTTGAGTGGGACACCAGTGACTCTCCTGAGCTCCGTGAGTTTCATTACTGTGAGAGAAATGAGGAAACCACGACTTGTCAGGAAGGGCGAGCTCAGAATCCTAGAACTTGAGAGCTGGAAAGGACCGAAGGAATTGATTGTAGACGTCATCATTTTCTAGCACAAAGGTGTGCCTTTTATGGGATCTCCTCCACTGTGCACATTGAAATCGGTCTGTACTGGAACCTGGGTGTTTCTGGAGGAGCGGGCACTGCTTATTTGTGGCTGGGGTTCTGGCCTAAGGTCGGAAGGGCTGGGTCTGGCCCTGAGTGCAAGAAGTAGGGAGGCCAGATCACCATAGATGAGGCCACAAACAGGCCCAGTTCAAAGTATTTTAAGACTGTTTATTGTGTGGCTTGGTGGGGTGGGGGCGCACAGGCAGGGCGCAGCCCAGCAGGCCGTGGCTCGAACGATACGGGGTGACACGGAGGGAGGAGGGTGTGTGTGGGTGCACGCGCGTGCGTGCCTCTGTGGGTGTGGGTGTGGGTGGGTGCGTGCGCGTGTGAGACAAGGACAAATGTGGGACAGGTTGTACACACGCAGCAGAATGGGTTAAAGCCTTGTCCTTTCTCTGGCGCCTTGAAAGGCTGCCACATTGAGCCCTCAGGGGGCTGGCCCAGGGTTCTCCTATTGCAGTGGGGCTGGGAGGGAGCTGCTGGGGCTGGTGGAGGAGTTCACCTCCTAGGCCAGGAGTTTCCACCAATCGCAGCGCAGAGAGTGGTCCAAGAACACGCCCCCTCCCAGCTCTGCAGCAGAACGCCCGCCCGGGCCCTCCTGGCTTTGCTGCTCTCCACACCCGCAGCCCCTCTTCCCCTCTCTCTATCTTTTTCTCTCCCTTTTTTCCTTCTGCCTCTTTTCTCTTTCTCTCTTTCCCTTCTTCCCGTTTCCCTTCTTCTCGTCTCTTTTCCCTTCTCTCCTCTCTCCTCTTCACTGTCTCTCTCCCCTCTCCACCTTTCTTTTCCCCTGTCTCCCTCACCTCTCTCACTCCCCTTTTCCCACTCCCCCCTCCTCTTTCCTCCTCCCTCTCTTTTTCTCTTTCTCTCTCCCTCCTCCTTCTCCTTTCTCCCTCCCTCCTTCTCTCTCTCTCTCTCTCTCTCTCTCTCTCTCTCTCTCTCTCTCTCTCTCTCTCGCGCTCTCTCTCTCTCTCTCTCTCTCTCTCTCTCTCTCTCTCTCTCTCTCTCCCCCCTGCCATCTTCCGTTGCAAAGCATTTCTGGGAGCTGCATGTGAGTGACGCAGTAGCATTGTTCACAGGCACAGGAAGCTGTGACTGAGCTGTGCTGAAGGGCTGGGGACGGGGCAAGCACACTCGCCCGCCCGCCCGCCTGCCTGCTGCTCCTCAAGGGCTCTGGAGCAGGCTTTCTCAGCCCAGGGGCTTTGGGGACGCCTGCACTTGTGCGGTACGTTCCAGATTTCAGAGAGAGAAAATCCACGTAGCCCGGGACAACTTCCAGCGCAAACACGCAAACAAAGGCTGGGGAAACTTGAACCGAGAGTCGCTGCGGCCCCGGAGGGAAGAGAAGCCCAAGGTCAAGGCAGCCGGTGAAGCTTTTCAGGTTTGGGGGCGGCTGGAGCTGGGGCCTTTGTTCGGGGAGGGGGAAGGACAGCGCTTGGGATCTTGCCTTGTGGCATCCTTGGTGCCCTGGCTCTGTGGGAGAGCCCTGGCTTTTCTCCTGCCTGCCCTGCTGCGCCCATCACCCTGAGGGCCTTTGCTGATTCACTACTGGCCTCCTTCCCCTCCCTTTTTTTTCCCTGGGAAAATGCTTGGGTCTGAAGGTTTCCCCAGCCGCCTGGGGCCCGGAGGTCCTTAACCCGGGAAGGGTGTTGTCCTTCCCTGAAGGGCCTCAGCTGGAGCCTGCCCACGGCTTCAGAGGGAAGCTGGGTGTGGGGCCAGGGGGACCGGCCCCTTTGAAAGAGCAGGCCTTGGAAGGAAATCTGCATTTCCCTCCACACCCACACATATCTCCCCGTCCCTCCGTCCCTCCCTCCCTCCACACCCTCACTTGGCTGAGGGTTCCCCTCTGTCCCCTTAAGCTAAATGCAGATCTGGGAGCCAGCGAGCAAGCGCAGTCTGCTTTGTTCAGAGTGGAAAGTCCCTGTTTGTGGACAGCTCGGTTCTGCTCAGGCAGAGGAAATGGGCAGAGCCCCGCAGCCCAGCCGCCTGTGCAGAAGGGCTCAGGAGGGAGGCGAGGTGGGGGAGGGGAAGCTCACCTCACTCCCCAGCCACCTTCTGAATGGATCTTAATTTTCCCCCCTGGGGAGATGAAGAGCCTGGTCCTGGGCCTTGTCCCACGTGGCACCAGCACCCCGCCTCCTCACCCCTACACAGTGTGGTGCTAACAGGAGGCTCCTGAATACGATGCCATAGCAACATGAAGTAAATAAAACACGTCCGCAAATGGAATCAGTTTGGGGGAGGGTAAGAAGCATCTGGAGACTTGGCCTGGGACATGTTTGTTGGGAGCTTCCTGGGTGAGGGGGTTCTGCCAGGCGCCAGCTGCGGGGGCTTTGTGGACTGGGTCAGCTGCAGCCCAGGGATCGTCCTTGCTTCAGGAAATCTAGAGAGCGGTTATTAGACAGGAGAGAGGCTGCTGGCTGAGGTGGCCTGGCCACCCGTGGGAGGGAAGAAGGGAGCCGCCTTTCTTCCATGTTCCCTTGCTGCCTTTGAGCTCAGGAGGTCAGCACAGCAAAGATCTTCTTTCAGCCGCTGGACGGACTTGGTCTCAGGATTTTTATGTCTGGGTATTGACGCAGCGTTTGTTTCGGACATCTCTGAACATCTCTGAAAAAAGGCACACGTCAGTCTGCCCTGGATGGACTACAGTAGCATTGTCTCCTGAATCATTTACCCCTGGACTGGTGCTGGGTGGAGGGGAACACATAATGCTTCCGTCTTCTTTTGTTCTTTTTAGATATTTATTGTCTGTGTTCTGGCCTTGAGAGCTATGGTTCTTAAAAGGGGGGCCCAGGGACCCCTAGAGTCCCCAAGAACTTTCCAGGGGTCCACAAGGTCAGAACTGTTTTCCTAACAGTTATTAAGGTATTTCTGTTTCTAATATGGTGGATATCAATAGGCCGCCTTCAGGCTGTTGGGCAGTGGTGAGAGGGGGGGTCCTCTGTAATTCTTAAGAGTGTAAAGGACTCCTGATCCTAAAAAGTATGAGATCCTCGAGGGTTAGCGTCGCGATACTGTTGTTGGAAATATATCATTCTACTGGTGTGTCACTGTCGTCATCCTCAACCCCCCCCAGCCCTAGCAAAAGGAGGCCGTGATTGGCTGCCGGATGTCTCTGTAAAGGCGGGGTGGGAGGATGTCAGAGATTGCCCTCCCTTAGAGGAATGCGTTCGTCCAGAGCTCTGGCTCCATAGCGCACTGTTCCTGGGTCAGTGCAGCTGACCAGCGGAAGGAGTAGGTAAGCAGAGAGCCCGGTGTCTGCCGTGCACTGCGTTAGACTGAGTTTCAGTGATGGCGCTGCCACTGGTTTTCTTCTTCTGCAGTCAGCACCCAAACAGAGGATGAAGAAATGCCAGTGGGGTGAGGAGTTCTGCCCTCACCCTTCTGGCACTCAAGGGGCTCTGCGCGGAGCCCTGGCCCTTGTTCATGCTGCTCTACTTTCTCTCTTCTTTTGTCACAGATACTGCTGGAGGAGCTTGCCCACAGTGATCCCAAGTTAGCCCTCACCGGAGTCCCCATAGTACAGTGGCCCAAAAGGGACAAGGTAAGAGATTCTGTCCAACTTCAGGCTTTTCCTGGGGGGCAGCAAAGAGCTCTCCTGGCTGGGGGCCAAAGCTGCTGCCTGCCAGCCCACCCCCAGTTCTGCTCGAGTTCTGTGGCCAGGTTAAGTTGACCCTTACCAGGGGTGCTTCCCCAAGGTCACTGCTATGCCAGGGTGCTTGAGCTCCAACCCTAGTGTGTTCAGTGAGTCCGTTGAGCCTTTTAGGAGTGGTGTGGTTGTTCACAGAGTGGGTGAGGCATTTGACAAAGACCTGAATCCTGCCATTTTCAATTTGCCTTTTTTTGGGGGGGGTGGGGGTGTCACTTAAGATTTTCCTTCATTTTTTAGTTTAGTGAAAAAGAAGAAAAGCAGTCATGAGCCTGTGATGCCCATAAACAGTTTGCTGCCTTCGGTGGGTCGAGGCAGATGGTGCTGCACTAAAATCCTGTTTTCCATCTGATCCTAAGCCTGGAGCATGTTGTGGTTAAAGTGACAGTCCTTCTGCTCCTAATTGTGACCCTGTAAATACAGCTAACATGTGCATCCCCACTTCAGAGTGCGGGGAGCCCAGATTTCTGATGTGCCAACACCAAACATAAAGACGCGTGACTGAAAGTTGGCACCTTCCGAATTAGAGTACAGTGGGTAGAGCGCGGAGCCTGGAGTCAGAAAAGACTGAAGTTCAGATCTGGCCTCAGACATTTACTAGCTGTGTGACTGTGGGCAAGTCACTTCATCTCGGATTCGGTTTCCTCAACTGTGATTGGGATGACATTAGCACCTGCCTTCCACGGTTATGAGGACCAAATGAGATATCTTTTTTTGCAGGGGAAATGTGCTTAGCACACACTGTTTAGCATACAGTAGGTGCTATATAAATGCTTATCCTCTTTCCCCTTACCCCAAGCTTGATCAGTCACCCTAGGTTATTTTGTCCATGCTACACGCAGTCCTGTTTTAGGAACAGTAGGGAGTTAGAGGAAGTCAGATATGGCTTCTGCCCTTAAAACAAAAGTTAACAGAATAAATACAGATGCATACATGTGTACACAAGTATCCTAGTCCCAACCCACCAGACCTTGGTTCACCACTATTTCCTGTCAGACCTTCAGCCAGCCCCTCCAAACTCTGCCCCACCTCCACTTGTCCCATGTCTTTCCCCGGAACTGATCAATGGTGATCTCATCTGCAGCGCCGTCACCTCCCTCCCCGCCCCCCCCCCAATAATTTCACCCTTCCCTCATTGCCATACACACACACACCCGCCCCTGTGTTAGAGGGTGCCTGGCACATGTTAGAGCTTAAATGTGAAGTATTCTGGGTATGGCAAAGATTAAAACAGTCCCAGCCTTCATGGTTGCAGTGTACTTCACACTGTACATATCCACAGCCCCTGTGCCTGGGAGGTACTTTATGCTATCTTTATTTTACAGAGGAAGAAACTAAAACAGAGAGAGTTTCAGTGACTTAAGAGGCAAAGTCATGACTGAGTCGTGCAGCTTGCAGGTGTTAGGGGCAGGGCTTGACTCTCGGGTCTCCCTGACCTGCAGTAGATGAGGCTGAGTTTTGAAGGCTAAGAAAGGGAGGCAGTTTATCTGAGAAAGCATCTCCCTGGTTTCTCCTCCCTGAGGAAAGCTCCTGGATCCAGCTAACCCCTCCATATTCTGTTTGCAGCTTAAATTCCCCACACGGCCCAAGGTGCGGGTCCCCACCATTCCTATCACAAAGCCTCACACCATGAAGCCTGCTCCTCGACTGACCCCAGTAAGGCCTGCTGCCTCGCCCATCGTCTCAGGAGCCCGGCGGCGGAGGGTCCGATGCCGCAAATGCAAGGCCTGTGTCCAAGGCGAATGTGGTGTGTGCCACTACTGCAGGGACATGAAGAAGTTTGGGGGGCCTGGTCGCATGAAGCAGTCGTGTGTCCTTCGCCAGTGTTTGGCAGTGAGTGTTCTGCCTTGCTCGGGGGGAGGGACTGTCTGAGTCCCCAGGGTGGAGTTGTGGAGCAGGTGGAGCAGAGGAGGCTTTGTCCCTCCTCAGCGATCTCTGCTAAGGGATAGAAGCTGAAAGAGAAGGCATTTGGGGTTGCCTTCTTACTCTCTCGTCCCCAATTCACCCCGTTCTTACCCCGGGGGGGGTTGGGTCTATGCAGGTCAGAAAGGGGTGTCATTGACTCAGGCTTTCATCTGCTGCTGCCACCCACCCTGACCTAGTGATTGTCCTGCATCTTTCTTTTGACCTCCCCTGACCTTTCTTGCCCTTTGTAAGCTGGCCAGAGGCCTTTAGGAAGCTAAGTTAACTGCAGACCTGCACTCTCCCTGATTTCTGTCTTTGCTTCTCTTTTAGCCTCGACTACCTCATTCGGTCACGTGCTCTCTCTGTGGAGAGGTGGATCAGAATGAGGAAACCCAGGACTTTGAGAAGAAACTCATGGAGTGTTGTATCTGCAATGAGATCGTTCATCCTGGCTGCCTGCAGGTGAGAAAGCCCCTGCTCCTCGGAGGTGGGCAAAACAAAGGAATAAGGGGCACGTTTTGGCTGGAGGTCATTGGCGTACTTGTGGAAAATAGAGGAGATCTGGAATCACTTCCCGTGGTTCATTGCACGTCATCACCATGGGCACTGTGACAGCCTTCAAGGCTCTGTCGTCTCCATCCTGTTGGGTCTTTAGCCACTTAGTCGTATGTCCTAGAGACTGAGGTCAGATCCAAGGTAGCCATTTCCCCTCTTGGAATGGTGTTCCTGGCTGGAAAAATGGGGACCTGGGAACAGCCATACCCCCTCAAATGTTGAGATCCATTTAAAATGGCAGCAGAAAACTGGGGAGCCAGAATGGGACCGAGGGCAGAGAATCTCAGGGGTGGGAGGCCCTCCGAAAGCACTGGTGCCCCCATCAGTCCCTAACCGGGAATTCCCTCTGACGATCTCTGCAAATGGTCACTTGGCATCTCCTCAAAGCCTTCCAGTGAAGGAGGCTTCACATCCAGAGCCGAGCCATTTCACTTTGGAACATTTCTGAAGGTTCCCCAGCTGCTTCTGACTCTTCGTCTTCTACCCATTGCCCCTAGTTCTGCCTTCTCTGGCCAGTAAAATAAGGATAACTTCTCTCCCTCAAGGTAGACCTTCAAATGCATAAAATCCCTCTAAGTCTTGTCTCTTCCAAGGTAAAGCTCCCCAACTCAGTCCTTGTGTGTAGTCTGCAAGTCCTCCTTGCTTTACTAGCTACTGGTGCTGTCTAGCTGGATGGTGCCCTTCTTAAACTATATCACGCAGAATCGAATAGAGCGTCCCGACTGTGTCTGGTCATACCCCCAGGAGGAGAGTTGTGGAAAAGGCCAAGGTTGGAAGTAGGTCCAGCTCTTCTGTGTGTGCCAACCATGATCTCCAACTCCTTGAGCAGATTAAAAAACAACCAGCAGTTGGATGGTGGTCAGATCTCTAGAAAGCCCAGGGGCTCATTTAACTGTGTCCTCCCTGTTGTCTAGTACTTTCTTGGCTCAGCAAAAGTGAGAATGTCTTTCTCACAGCATTTACCAGAATATTGACTTTGCTGAATAGGGCACTTGGTGAGGTCGCTCCCAACCCTATGATGATTGGAAAAGAGGCAGAGTTAAAGGGTGGTGATTGATCCCTGCCTGTGTTTGCAGATGGATGGAGAAGGACTGCTCAATGATGAGCTGCCTAATTGCTGGGAGTGCCCAAAGTGCTATCAGGAGGACACCTCAGAGAAGGTGCAGGTGAGTGGCCCAGACCCTGGCTTCTTCCCTCTCCAGGGACTCCTGACCCCCCCCCCACACACACACACCCTCTTTCATTTGTTATATTCATGTGGTTGCACCATTGTGCACCCTCATTCAAGTGCCTTTCTGCAGCTGGCCTTGTTCTGGAATTAGAAGGAATTCTAATTCTGGAATTAGAAGGAATTGGTCATAGCAGGGGCTGGAGGACCAGCTTATTTGAGGAATTGAAAGGTACCTACAGAGGGAAAAGGGTCAGATGTAGTTGAGATACGGCCTTCAGGAATGAAACCTCATACCTTTTGGTGGACAGTGGCCAACTCTGCGGTACCCTTGAGTTTCCAGACCAGTGAGTTCCCATTTTGGCCATCCCCCCCTTAACATGGCCTTTGTAGAACGCTCCATAGGTAGGGAAGCTCTGCCGTCTTACTGGGCCAGCTGTGCTGTGACCCAGAAGAGCTGGGCAGCCTGGCCTGGAAGGGCCAGGAAGACAAATGTGTCCTCTCTGAGAGCTTGGGTCTGTCCCACTGTCCCCATAGGATGGAAGAGGGCTGAGTTAGGAGGCGGTTGAGGTCAAACCTAGGCAGCTTAGCTATTAGGAATCTGTATTTTTATAGTTTCTCGTTCTGTGAGATGGATTTCAGTCAGCTGCATTTTAATTTTGCCTTCTCACTAAGATGGACCCGAGCCTCTGACTACCGTGGCCTTGAGGCTGGGAGGAGAGACCCTGAAGATTGCCTGCAGAGCGGGGTTTTTTCCACGTTGGAAAGTTTTGATTTTAGTGTGAGGGTTCACCCCGATACTATCTGTCCAGGAAAAGCCATAGTTCTTGAGAAGCTATGGTAGATGGGTTTACTCTTGGAATCTTTGGGCCCCAGAGTCTGTCCCGTTACCCCCAGGGTCAGGCTTTCGAGTGTGCCTGACCAAGCCTTACTCCTCAGGTTTTAAGCCTGGGCAGAGTTCCATCCAATAGCAGCCTCACTGCTGCTGCTGGGGGGCCAGATGCAGTGTCTGCTCCTTTGGAGCTCTTGAAACCGAAGGAGGTGAACAGCAGGCGAATTTGGGCTTGGGATGGACCGAGTGCTGTATTAGCATGGGAGGCTGGCCCCGCCCACCCATGCCACGAACAGAGCTGGCTTTATCCTGGGGAGAAGGGTTAGAGCCTAGGGCCCGGGCAGCAGCTCCTCATTAGAACCAAGAGGATTTGTCCTAGCACCTAGAGAATCTTCCTTTGGGTCACTAATAAGGTCACCTGATGGAAATTTGGAAAGAGCAGGCACAAATTGCCTTTTCTCGGGCCTCTTTTGCAGAAGCGTAAGATGGATGACAGTGATGAAGATGTGGTCCAAGCCAAAGTCCTGCGGCCTCTACGGAGCTGCGACGAGCCCCTCACGCCTCCCCCTCACTCGCCTACTGCCATGCTTCAGCTCATCCATGACCCGGTGTCCCCTCGAGGCGTGGTAACCCGGTCCTCCCCAGGAGCTGGTCCCAGTGACCATCACAGCGCCAGCCGGGACGAGCGCTTCAAACGGCGGCAGCTGCTGCGGCTTCAGGCCACGGAGCGCACGATGATGCGAGAAAAGGAGAACAATCCCAGTGGTAAGAAGGAACTCTCCGAAGTCGAGAAGGCCAAAATCCGGGGGTCCTACCTCACGGTCACACTGCAGCGGCCAGCCAAGGAGCTGCACGGAACCTCCATCGTGCCCAAGCTGCAGGCCATCACGGCCTCCACGAACCTCCGCCATTCTCCCCGCGTACTGGTGCAGCACTGCCCCACACGAGCTCCCCAGCGGGGGGATGAAGAGGGCCTGGCCGCCGAGGAGGACGAGGAAGACGAGGACGAGGAGGAGGAGGACAGTGCAGAGGAGGGCGGGGCAGCCAGACTGAACGGCCGGGGCGGCTGGGCACAGGACGGGGAGGAGAGCTGGATGCAGCGGGAGGTCTGGATGTCTGTCTTCCGTTACCTCAGCCGCAGAGAACTTTGTGAATGTATGCGGGTGTGCAAGACGTGGTATAAATGGTGAGCATGGCAGGAAGGGGGCCGGAGAGCAAGTGCTGCCCGTGGGACGGGGAGGAGGGGAGAATTCTCTCTCCCTTCACCTCTCCTCGGATTTCTGGCATCCAGTTCAGGCCGCTTGGTCTTGTCGGGAAGGGCAATCTCATCAGAAAGCTCCTGCCTCTCAGGGCCAGGTCCGGTTCCTGCTGGTAGCCGGTCTTACTGCCAGTAGAGCTCGTTGGGTCTTTGGGTTATCGGGTGAGGAGAAAGGACTCGGGCTGCCTTTTGCCTTTCTCCCCTCTGCTTCCTCTGTCCCAGTCCTCTTTTTGCTGGGAATGGAAGTCTGAGTCAAGGGACAGGGTTGTAGAATTTCTGTTAAGGCCACCATGTCTCGTAGCTGGAAATCTCCCTGCACGGCACCAACACCAACTTGGACAAATTAGCAGAAGTCAGTGTTCAGATTTTCTTAATTCATAGGCTATTCACAGGAAAACATCTGTGCCCATCTTCTCTGAGTAATTTAAATATAATTAATAATCTCATGCCTCCTTACCTTCATCAAGTCTTCCGTTTCATGTTCCTACTTGGAAACAACAGTCTTGTGCTGAGCTGCTGGACCTCCATTTCTTTGTTTGGTTTTCTGATAACTCTGGTTCCTGTGAACCAAGGTCGTTCAAATGAATATTCTTTTCTTTTTTTAATGATCTTAACATAATAATTAGATGAGTCTAAAGGCAAAATGATGGGGAATCAAAGAAACCTCCTTATTCCCACAAGGTAAAATGTGATCTCTTGGCAAATTGGTACTGATTTCTTTTTCCCAAAACCCCAGTAACCCATCCTTGGCCCTGAGACACTCATTGCCTGTCTCTTTGCCAAGCTCTGTTAGGAACAAGAGAAAACTCTTTTGGTGTCGCTCTGTGTGTACCGCTAGGAAGCCCTCCTTTTCGCCCCCAGACATGCAATGCCCACTTCAGAGTTTCCCCATTGCCGCTCCCAGCTCACCTTGGAGGCCAAGCCCAGAGAGGGTGGCATCTGGCAGCCAGGGAGTCAGACGTGCTACTCATCAGACAACACATTCCTACAGGCCCCTCCCTACAGAGGGAGAGAGCAGAGGCGACCTTGCCCGGCCGCGGTGACGGCCCCGGCGATGGCAGAGGCAGCCTGCGGCAGTGGCCTGGGCTCAAGGGGGTTGAGGCAGGCCCGCACGAGTAGTGATGAGCACCTCAGAAACCTGAGGTGACCGCCCCAGGAGGACTCAGGAGAAGTTTTCAAATGCTACCCTGAACATCTAGAGGAAAGGAGAGCTATCCTTTACAGAAACACTGAAAAAAATCAGCTCCTAAACCCTGGGTGACTTGATTTTGCTGTGCACATTCCTGGCCAGCGTAGGTTTCTCCCACCCTTCGGAGTGGTTGCCCTAGGAAGTGGAACCACAGTAAAGACCGTTACCTAAATGACTGAACCCCCCAAAGCCCCTGGGGGCCAGCAGACTCCTGTAGGACGTCCCGGGTCAGGAGTCTGTGGCAGCGCCAGTGGGGAGAGGCGCGGCAGGGGCTCACGGTTTGGGGTTTGGTTATCGTCACCTTCTCCAGGTGCTGTGACAAGAGACTCTGGACGAAGATCGATCTGAGCAGGTGCAAGGCCATCGTCCCCCAGGCCCTGAGCGGCATCATCAAGAGACAGCCGGTCAGCCTGGACCTCAGCTGGACCAACATCTCCAAGAAGCAGCTGACCTGGCTCGTCAACAGGCTCCCCGGTGAGTGCTCTGGGAGGCAGCCGTGGAGCAGGACATGGAACAGCAGAGGGAGAAGCCAGAGCCTCTGCTTCAGCATCTTCCTTCGCCAGGCCTATCCCTGAGCAGGCATCCAGCTGAGAGTGGGAGCCAGCCTCGCACCCAGGGCCCCCGTGGGGGAAACCCGAGTCTGAAACGGACCCCTTGTCTCTTGCAGGCCTGAAAGATCTCCTCCTAGCAGGCTGCTCCTGGTCTGCAGTTTCTGCTCTCAGCACCTCCAGCTGCCCCCTTCTCAGGACCCTGGACCTTCGGTGGGCTGTAGGAATCAAGGACCCTCAGATTCGAGACTTGCTGACCCCCCCCGACTGATAAGCCTGGTAGGCATTGATCTCCTTGAGCATTCAAGCAGGGCAGCCTGGGGCCCGTGGACCCTTCTCAGAATCGTGTTTTTAAATGTATCAAATATGTAAGATTACCAAGGAAACCAACTGTCACTATATTGTTAAAACAAGTTCTCGGGCCCCAGATTCAAATCCTCCATTAAAAGGGCCTCTTGGCCTAGATCTGCACAGCAATCATATGCTGATAAACACAGCTCAGAGATGGGTTAGATTTAAGTCCTCACAAGTGAACATGTGTATACAAAGAAACCATTGTTTTGAGGTTCTTGTTGGGACAGAAGATAGCTGGGGACATTCTGGGAAGGCTTTCTACTGGAGGTAGGTTTCTGGAATCTGTTGAGATGTTGGGGTGGGGTGTGAGGAGGATCTTGGTAACGCCCTAGTAATATGGCACATGTGGGGGGGTGGGAGAGAGAGCTCTTGGTTATGACCCAGGCCTTGGGGGCTCCTCTCAGCTGGAATCTGCTGGCATTGAGAGAGAAACAGATGAGTGGAGCCCAGGGCTAAGATTTTTGAGCCCCTCGTGTTTCCATAGGTCAGGACAATCGCAGCAAGCTCCGAAACATGACTGATTTTCGGCTGGCTGGCCTGGACATCACTGATGCCACCCTCCGCCTCATCATCCGCCATATGCCGCTTCTGTCTCGACTCGATCTCAGTCACTGCAGCCACCTTACAGACCAGTCGTCCAATCTGCTAACGGCTGTCGGCTCTTCGACACGCAACTCCCTCACGGAAATCAATATGGCAGGTGTGGCCATGGGCTCTGGTCGGCCTTGGGCTTCCCCCAGTTCGAGCCCTCGCAGAGCTGGTGGACCTGCCGGGAGGGAGCACTCGGGCGAGTGACGGAGGCAGCCTTGGCTCAGATGGGCTGCTGCTGGGGGTGGGGCAGGGCTGCCCTCATAGCCTCTCTTTGTCCATAGGTTGCAATAAGTTGACAGACCAGTCCCTGTTGTATCTACGGCGCATCTCTAATGTCACCTTGATTGACCTTCGAGGCTGCAAGCAGATCACCCGGAAGGCCTGTGAGCATTTCATCTCAGACCTGTCCATCAACAGCCTCTACTGCCTGTCTGATGAGAAGTTGATCCAGAAAATCAGCTAAAGCCCACTCAGCCCCAGACTGAACAGGAAACAGAAACCTCCCCCCCCCCACTCCCCACCGTGGAGAGCTGCTCCCCCCAGTCTGCACGGGCTTCGAGGCCGGCCTCCCACTCCCCACCATGGAGAGCTGCTCCCCCCATTTGGCACGGGCTTCGAGGCCGGCCTCCCACTCCCTTTGCTCTCCCATCCCTGTCCCCTTCCGGCACAGCAGGATAGGGGCAGAGAGGGTGTTCCTGCTGCACGGTCCTACAATGACCGAGCACAGGGATGACCCACCTGCTCCCTTCTCTCCTTCCTTCCCTCCCTCATTCCTTCCCTCCCTCTGTTGAAAAAGGGATAGGAAAAAAAAATCACAGGAGGTGCTGTTGAGGTGCTCACTTGGAGACCAAGTTCATAGTTGGGGGTGCTGTGCCAACTTAATCAGCACAGCCCCCTGCCCCACCCTAGGCCACCCTCTCCCCTCTCCTTCCATCTCCCATCAGGGCCTGGGCCGAGCATTGTCCTTGGGAAGGAAACAGCTTGCTCTGCTGCAGACGGGCCCTGCCTCAGTGGCTGGACTTTTCCTGGGGTGTTCAGTGGTGTGTCTCCCTCGTCAGGCTCTGCCCGGCTTATGCAGATGGTGGCACTGGCCCCCGGAAGGCCAGACCCTGCAATCACACTGGTGCTGTTGAATTTCCAGAAACCTCCTCCATGTCTGTCCCCACCATCTGCAGCTTGACACTGTCCAAGGCTCACAGTTCCACAAACACCGCCTCCCTGTACTTTGCCCTGAGTCCACGGCACGTGGCTGTGCACTTAATCAGCTGCTGCCCTGTGGACGTGCCAGGGTGGCCATGTGGGGGGGGGGGGAGGACTCCCGGGCTGAGCTCCAGCCCCAAGGTCCCCCTGCTGAAGCCCCTCTCCTCTTCTTCCCCCTTTGCCCGAGATTCTTTTTTCTCTCTCTTTCTGAGGAGGGCTTTTCCCGGGGTGTGTGTGCTTGGAGGGAGCCTGAGGCTTCCACAGAGCTGGGGGGTGGGGGGTGGGGGGTGGGGGGAGGATGAGGACCAGGCCGGGTCCCTGCGCTTCCAACGGCCTGCGAGGGTCTTGTCTTTGTGTATAGTCTGGTGACTCAGTCCTTGTTCTTCAGCTTAGAGAAATGCTACGCTTTGGCTCTCCCCCTGCACAGCCACTAGCTACCTGCCCGCAGCCTGGACCCCCAGACCAGGGGCAGGGAGGGAGGGGGTGGTCTGCATGTGCCTGTTTGTGTAGGCTTTGGGGAGGGCTGGGGTTAGTTTGTGCTCCCTCCCTGCTGCACCCCGTCAGCTGCCCCCCACCCCCGTTCTTTTGCATTGAGCAGGCCGGTCCAAAGATCCTCTCTAGGGCAGCAGAGAGCTTTTTGCACTTTAAAGAGAAAGAAAAAAAGGTCGTGATTTCTTTTTGGGTCAATGTGGAAGTGAGAGGAGGTGCTCACAGCAGCTGCCTGTGGCAAGAGCTTATAAATGTTATACGCAAATTTGCACTCTGCTCCCCAATCTGTAAGGATGTTGATAGCACAACCTTCTCCCCTCTTCTTTCCCAGCTGCCCTTCAGTTCCCTTTCTAGACCCCCGGTCCCTGGCTTTCCTCTCGACCGCAGCCCTCCACGGGGCAGGGACGAGGAGCCAAGCCCAGCAGCCCACGCCGGACGCCAAGGGCACCCTTGCTCTTTCCAAAGCCGTAGTGTGCAGAGGGGGACTCCCATGGTGGCCACTTACCCCAGCTTTGACTCCTGGCCTTGACTTAAATCTCCAGAAAAAAAAAAAAAAAAGAAACGAGTCTCGGGGAGGGAGTGGGTAGGAGATGGCAGCCTGGGGTGTTCTGGCAAATGTGCTAATGATCCGGGCTGCACCTTCCAAGGGGTGTGCTCCCTTCAGCCCCGACCCCCGGGCCCCGGGCCCCAGCCCTCGCAGCGTGGGGCTAGATGCAGAGGGAACGTCAGGGACTTGATTCCAGAGTGCCTCCGTTGGGAACTTCTCTGTAAAGAACCCTGGGTATTGAGCAAAAACCTTTATTATTAATATTATTATTGCTAATGACCTGTAATTGGAAGCTTCCTGCCTTGTTTGGTTGCGCCTGTGGAAAATACTGAGAAGACGACTTACTGTTTGTTTTTTGCCTTTTTTGTAAAAGGGGAGGTGGAGAGACCCCTTCACAGCAGGGATTGTGCCGGGAGAGTGCCTTTCCAAGCCGATTGGGGATTCTTCATTTTCAGCTTGGAAAAATGGAAGCATTTCTCCCGCGCACAGAAATGGGAGCGCGCAAGCCGCAGCAGACGGCCCCAGCTTCCCCCTGCTGGGGTTTGCTTTCATTTCGGAGGAGAAGGGAGGGGACGGTGGCTTTTAGAGGGGACGGGGTCGCTCCCTGCAGTGCTGGTGGTGGCAGTTCTTGAGTTCCTGCCTTGGGGCCGGGGAGGAAAAACGGTGACTTCAGTCGCAATCCTTACAGTCTGCTCCTAGACACGACCTCCCCAGGGAAGTCCACGGCTCCGGAGACAGCAGGGAGAGGCTCCCGGCCTCCTGCCTCCACCTTTCTGAGTACGGGGGTGAGAACCACAAAGGAAAGGAAGAAAAATTCTATATATATATAAATATATATATAATATAAAATCACTTGGTGATTAAAAATAACTGCTCCATAAATAAAACTCCTAAAGTCACTATGTTTAAAGGGTTTGGTTGTGCTTTTTGTTTTCCCGGAGAAATATTGTAAATATCTATTTTTTGTTGCTGATTTAGAGTCAATCTCCGATGTTGTGCTCAAAATTTAAATTAAATGTAAGCATTAAAGGGGATAAGAAGACGTCGTTGGCATCTCCGTTGACACCTCGGGGTTCTTGAGGGCAGGGCGGGCGAGCGAGGAAGGAGAGCCGTTCGCCGGGCCTGGCCTCGTTTCTTCCAAGTCCTCCACCCTTGGTTTTAGAGAAGAGCAAGGTCGTTTTTGCTCTGGGTATTATAGGGATGGGAAATATTTGTGTAATAAATTTTAAGATGGAAAAGAACTCTAATGGGACATTTTTATTTAGGTAAGGGTTCTTGGAGGGTAGAGGGTGTTGGGGGCTTCTTTCGTTTGTTCGTTTGTTTGGGGGAATTGAATAAAAGAACAGTTTTTAAAATTCTGCCTGTCATGGTGTATGCGTGTGTTATGTCAGGGAGAGCCGGGTGAAGGAGGAAGGTACGGCAGCCAGCAGTGGGTGCTCTGACCCGGGCGAGGGGGGGGGGGGGGGGCTGGAGCACCAGCTTGTGGCCGTGCCCGTCTTCACGTGCTTTCCCGAGGCAAAGTCGCGGGCCTAGAGTGGGCCTGAAGCTGCAAACTTTGAGGGCGCTGGGTAGGATGGGCCACCCCCACTGCGGCTCGGAGGGCAGCGGTGTTGTGCACGCCGCTCTCGGGGGTCTCCTTCTTTAGTCATGTCCCAGGTGTGCTCGGCTCCCTTGGGAGGCCGCCAGATTGGCCCGGGTGTCCCTGATGGCTTGGCATTACCCACCAGCTCGAGCTCCTAAGCCACTTTCGGTCCTGGGTCTTTCCAGGGTGAGTCTATTCCTGAATAAGCCAGTTGGAGAACCCTAGAAAGGAGTTCTCAAATTGAGTGGCAGGTACCTACGGGCTTATCTCCAGAGGGGGAAACTGAGGCACACAAGGGATCTTGCTCAGGTTTTCTTACTTGGCCCAGTGCGCCTTCCCTGAGGGGTGCTAAGCTTAGTGGGGCTGTAACGTGGAGACAAAATGAAGAGCTAAAGACGAGGGTGTGGGTGGGACTGCTGAGGGAATGATTCTGGGAAAAACCCGAGCAGGATCTTCCAGGAGGGAGGGAAGGTCCCCGGGTGGGGTTCACCACCGTCTTGCTGTGTCACGGTAATGATCAGCTTGGTTCAGCAGAGCTGCTGGGCATCTCCTGCAGGACTGGCTTCCCCCGAGCCCCGCCCGTCCCAAGTGCAGAAGGGCTGGAAGTGGTTGTCCTGAGGGAGAGGCAGGTGCTGGAGACCGCTGCCTGGCCCTGCTGGGGGAGAGCAAGCACGTTAACATAGCTAGTTCTGGGGAAGAGAGGCAGGTTCTCCTCCCTCCTGCCACCGATTGCAAGTCGCCAGCCTCTGGGACCAGGGCCAGAAGGAAACATCTGCTCCAGGTGCCCGCCCAGGCCTGGCCACCGCAGTGAAGCGGAGCCAAGCCTGCCCGCCTGCCCGCCTGCGCCAGCTCGGCTGACGTCAGCCTCCCCCTCCACACTGCGGCAAGAGGCACAGCCGCAGTGCCTGGCGGCCCCCGCCCCAGCAGGAAGCGGGGGGCAGTCGAGCGAGGCCCGCCCCCGTGGCGCGCCTTGCAGCTGCCCCCCTCCCCCACTTCTCCCAGGGTGATCTCTGCAAACCGCTCACAGGCTTGAGAGAGAAGTAAAGGAGATGGGAAGCAGGAAGGAAAGGGGGTGGGGGTGGGGGTGGGGGTGGGGGTGGGGGTGGGGGGAGAAAACCAAGCAAGCAAATCAGATATTTATGGCCTCTTGGGACACTGCCTGCGCTGACACCCACAGGCTCCGGCGACTGGGGAGGGGACCTGGCCTCCAGAAGGGAGGGGGCCACAGCTTTGAGTGTGGGCTCAGGACCCCTACTTGTGGGGGCGGGGTGGGGGAGCCGCTCACTCTACCTGGCCCAGCTACTGGGTAGAAGGTGCCAAGACCAGACAGGAAAAGCTGGCTCTCTAAGGGCTGCTGCAGCAGAGGCCAGATTGGGTTCCCACGCAGAGCCAGGGCATCTGACCCCAAAGGCAGTGCACTCCCTACCGTCCCTGGTGGGGGTCCTGACCTCCACGGTCTGAGGACCAGTTCAGCCAGATGGAGAGAAGCTCTGGGTGGGGCCCTTCTTGGGTTCCAGCCACAGAGGGGTTGTGAGATGCCCTGGCTCCTCCGGGGGTGCCCGCACACCCATCAGGTGCTGGAGCGCTCGGAGCCGGGCCGTTGGCAGATAGAGAGTCGTGAGGGCGCTTACCCGGGGCTTCCTGGTCTTTGTCCCATACAGCCATGCCCAGTGGCCCCTGTTAACAGCACGCCTAACAGATATGGCAGTTGTCCCCAGTATAACTCTGGCGGAAATCTTGAGGTCTCCTGTAACCGGTTCTCTTTGCTGTTCATCTCTAAGCATCCCCAGGTGCTCCCCTTGATTCGAGATCTTCTGACCCTGCTGTGGGGATGATGAGTGATCACTGGAAGGGGGCGGGGTGGGAGACCCCCATCTCTGCCCCTGGAGAGATGCCAATGGCACCCTGTCAAGAGGAGCATTTGCCAGGGGCTGGGGCCTCCCCTAAGGTGGTTGGCTAACTCATGTCATAGGAACCACCCCTTTGTGCCCATCTACCAGAGAGACACGTAGCTTTTTGCCCGTTTGCCATTTTTCTGCGTTCTGTTGGAGGGAGACGCTTCTTCTAATGCATGATTTCCACCTGCTAGAACCTGGTAATGGCTGC